CTTAAGATGTTAATGAACACGAAAAAGGAGAAAAAATGAAAAAAAGAAAAACGCTCATGATGAATTTTTCCTAAAAAAATGAATTGGCGTATTAAGTTGAATATTGGAAGACTAAAAAGATATTTAATTATCTTTATTAGATATAAAAGCATGTTCAAAGACTACTCTTTTACCAACAGTAATCATAATGGAAAGAATATGGAAGGTCTTTTACTTTGGAGTATTCAATCATAATAACACACTCATAATTAAAGAATATGGAAGGCATTTTCCTTTTGGAGTATTCAATCACAATAGCACACACATAATTAAAGAATATGGAAAGTTGTTTATTTATTGTTCAGCTTTAATCTTTGGTGCACCCAATAATTAAAGATTGCATTACAATTTCATTGTTTAATTGCAATGCATCATTTTATTGAATGATCCTTTGATTTCATTTTGGTCATTGATGTTAGGGTTCAACAAAAGAATGAAAAAGAACTCCTCAGGGAACAAATGTGCAAACGCAAAGTAAAAAAATAAATAAAAAAAACAAAAAAATTCATTACAAAATGTGTTGTAGTGTTGCGTCAGTTACAGTACTCACACTCAATGATGTTTTTTTGCCTAAATTGAGAAATGAATAACGTCTAGAACTTATCACGTTGTAAATAATTATTACGTCGATAATTGCTATATAATGAAGTATTTCGTTCATTGGATATATTAAAAGTATTATGCAGTATTTCTTTCATTGGATATAAGAAAAGGATTATGCAAACCTCACATAATATATTCCGAAACGGGGACAAATTACATAACATCATAAAGATACAATGCAACACGTTCAGTATTCACTGCCATTACTTCAACATCAGAAAAAGGAATACAAAGACTCGAATTTAAAACTCATCATCCTAAGAAATAAGATTAGACTATCGTCATTGCACAAAACAAATACACTTCAAAATCTACCTTGCAAAATTGGCATGTAACAGAAATATCATTTTGATCTACATCATTGTCCCACGGAGACAGTACATCAGTTAATGATCTCAATTTGCATATTTTGTAACTACAGAAGGTTGCCGAATTAGGGTTTCAAACGACTTTTCTACGCACCCACAAGCCTCGAACAAAACATCTAACACGTTTTCTACATTGTTGTAAACTGTTAGACTCATCCAGAGAACAAAAAATTTGAAATCCCAGATTTCTTTTATTGTCATCATCCCCTGACATCAATATCATGCAATAAAGATATTTGGCATCTTCGTGACCTTTCAGTGCTGCCGTTTTAATTCTGTCAAGAGGCAAGGCAAGCGTCTGAGGGCTGGAAGTCTCTTGGAAATATTGTATCAATCCTTCACGATACAAAATTTTAGGGTTGTGGCTCTACCTGCAACGTTCTAAGAATTTTATCTGCCTTTGTCTGTTGAACCTTGGCACGAGATTATAGAATTGCTTAGATACATCTTTTCTCTTCCCCGATTCATGGTCATCAACAAAGTAACTCTATACTCGATGAAGAAACGGTTTTTTATCAGCAATCCTTTCTAATGGCCCCAACGCAAACTTTTTCAACAAAACCCGTTCATTTACATAATCTGTTCCGGCAAGATGAAGAAATTGCTTGCAAGTAACTTTGACGTAGGATACATCCTCAATGGAATGAGAGGCCACCTTTCCAAATATCACGAATAATAAATCCGATGGAAGACTCTGCAGGGATTCAGGATTGCGATTCATAACTTTTGTGCGCTTGACAGGAAACATCGCCATTGAAAAGGGAAAGATGAATAATTTTAGAATAATTGAACTACTGTATACAAAATGAAGCTTGAGTCGTTTGAAGGGAAATACACAACCTCTTCAAGTGATTCACTATTTTGATAAAAGCAATGATTGAAATACTCATCTGACTTTGGAAAAAACAATTGAATTAATCGTTTGGACCAAGAATTAATTACGACGTTTAAGCATAGCCAGTTTATCAAAAAACGCAACTCTTGAAACCATAATTAAAACATTCTTTCATTTTATCATAGGATACGTTAAACAATGAACCGTCATTTAATAAAAATGAGAGATTATCAAATGGTTCAGATGAAATACTTCAAATGAATATAGACCAATTGTCTTGTTCAATGAACACATCCCATTTTCAAAAGTTTTAATAATTTTTTATCATTAGAAGGTTTAGAATTCATTCGCAATAAATGATAAATTTGGGATATGTGTTGTTCATGTAATCAATGCGAAACTCTTTACATTCAACTCAATAATATACCCTTCACATATTAATCTTTCATAGTAATACAATTAACTTATCAACCGTGGACCATGATGGAACCATCCTCACGTGATAACGAAGTGCAGAAGGCATTGCATACAAAACAAATTAAGGCACTGCATATTGAAATGGCATTGCATTACATCGAAGGAATTTTAAAAGGTTCTAAATTGTCATGGTTATCTAACAATACTACTATTGAAAAATAACAAAGAAAACTAAGGACACGCCACACTCATGGCATATCGTTTCAACTTTCAAGCATCATCGGTGGGTTGCCACTCTTGTAGCAACGTTTCAAGAATTGCACCTCACACTCCTTATTGAAACTTTTTAATGAACACAATTCGAATTCATACAACTCGAATTCAAACACTCTAACACCATACACCGATTTATCTTCATTCCCATAAACAAACACATTGCGGGTAATCCATTCCAAGTCAGATTTTAAAAACTTATTCAACGCTACGTTCTTGTAGACAAAATCGTGTTCTGCTAACTGCTGGAAATATTTGCAGCTCAATTTTACGTTGCAAATGTCCTCAATTGAATGAGATGCAACATTTGCAAAAATATATAACCACAAATATCTTGGAAGCTTTCTGACGTCCGAGATGTTTTTCTTCATATTGTATATATATATATATATTTGTTTTATCCGTAAATGCGTACAAATCTTTGTTGTAGAGTAGGGTAGGTTCAAGAATGATGGTCATCTGGCCAATTTATATAAGTCTTGATAAATTGGTTCACATAGAGACACAACAGTTCGACATTACAACTTCAATCGAAGACTGTAGAACTTCCAATTTAATGTATGATAAAAAAAATAGGACAAAGTAATAGGAAGCAAAATAATTAAAAAGGCATAAAAATCAAGAATATGATACAGCATAAAATGGCATGTTTTTTTATTCCAAAGACTTTCCGACAACAAAAACATCAACAACATATGAGGAAGTCGTTGTACATCTCAATTATCTCCATACAGCAGAAGTTGTATAGTTCATGTCCACATATACTCGTCATCCAGATAACTTTTAAATTCCTTGCAAGTTAGTAGCAGCATGTAGATATCAACGACCCCACCAGCTGCCACCCTAGCAAAAATTTCCATCAACTAATCATAAGGAAGAGATTTGAAATACTCCTCCTCTTCCCTCTCAATCTTCATCCGCTTTCCAGAAGAAGAAATAGCCATCGACAAAAGCTTAAATAACCGACAAAAGGAAATTCGCTTTATTGTTTTCATCAATTATTGCTCCCTCGTATAAGAAGTTAAGGAAGTTAATTTTAAAATTCATTTTTGTGCTCTATCGAGAAAAGAAAAAATGCATTAAAGGATGTCAGCACTGCGTGTGCAAAACATTTTTATGTTCATCGGTACTGTCACAATAATTAAATGATAAAATGCCCATTTAAGATGGAGAAGTTGAATGGTCTACGACTTGCAAAAGGAACAATCAATTGCAGCTGGGTTATCTAGCCACCATGCATTGATATTTTGTTAAAAATTAAGACTGTCGTTTTACCTCCCTTTGATTTCCTCAAGTGTGTTAAGAAGATCCAATTATTCTTAATGGCCACTTATACCAAATGAATCAACTAACTCCCAATAACCTTAGCCATTAATGGCATTATCATTCATACACTTGCACCAGTTTTCGTGTTCCAATGCAACCATCAAGTGACAACTTGTTATTAAATCCAAAGGCACTCAATAACAGGGACTTTTAAAGATATCAGACGTTAAGTTATCTGTCACAACATCTAAGCCCATTATTATAAACTATGACGTGCAGCAGTTCATCAATTGTTCAGAACCCCTTTCCACCTGAGTGAGGTTTTCGACATTACGCAATTAAAATCCATTGTCATTTACACGCATGCAGATGTCTTATAATTGAGATGGACGGTCCGCGTGTACTGATTGCATTTACAAAATATAAAATTCAAAAGAAAATCCACTAACTATTAATTACCAATTGCTTTCAGCAATTAATGGTATAATATTTCTCTCACATGAAGCTTTTTGTTATCCAATGTGTCCATCAACGTTTTAAAAAAAAATACAAATACATTGTACAACGGTGACATATCAAGTTATCATATACACCATCAATGGTAACAACATCTATACAAATATATAATGATATTTTTAAGTCGTATAAAATCATATCCAGAATCCCACATGTCGTGTTTAACAGCGATGGATATCATCAGTTGTACTGTAAATATATAATCCATTCAAATTATATAATCCATTCAAACAACGATGGACATTTACAATAATTCATAGTTTAATCAAGTTCTCCTTTCCACCAAATTATCTGCTTATCAGCACATACAATATGTAATAAGACACGGATATCCTTTCTCCGGTTTTGGTATCCAGCATCACCATTAAACCATTTTCAAAAAAATTACTTCCCACGTGTCAGTATTTAAACAAATATATAATGATTTATTTAAGTCGTATCAAATAATATCCAGAATCCCACACATTATGTTTAATAGCGATGGACATCTTTCATTGTACAGTAAATATATAATCCATTCAAACGTTGTAGTACATAATGGAACAACATGTCCAAAAAATCAGCATAACACAATGCCTATGAATCATAACAATTTTGCAAAACATTTACAATAATTCATAGTTTAATCAAATTCTCCTTTCCGCCAAATTATCTGTTGATCAGCACATACAATACGTAATAAGTCATGGATATCCTTCCTCCGATTTTGTGTCTCCAGCTTCACCATCAAACCTATTTCAAAAAAATAATTTCCCATGTGTCAGTGTTTAAAAAAATAACGTTTATAATTTAAATGAATAAAGTATAGAACATAGTAGAATTAACCGGCAAGCACTTAACTCTTTCTCCAGTTTAATCTTTTTCAAAGGACGGACAATAAAAGAATTACATTTGTCATCAACAACATTGTTTAAATTCAGAGATGGTGACAACAGAGACAGAGAAACGTCTGCATCTCCTGTACTCTCGCAGGTTTGACTCTCAACATCCTGAAACAAAAAAAAATGTCAAAAAATTCAGAACAATATGTATTTGAAAACGGAGACAATATTTATTCGATTGTTTATGTTAGTAGTTGTTTAGATACTGAAACTCATCCACGTTCATGGGATACAACATCATTGTCCTCCGTATTATCGAATATGGTGTCATCCTGCATTTTTTTAAAAAAGTAAAAAATCAAACCAAATAAACAAAGTAAAATAAGAAACACACACAGAAAGAAAAATCGCAACAAATCAAAGAAATCATATTAAAACAACATACATTTGATTCCATCACAGACTTAAGAAATGACTGGATAATAGATTCATTGCTGCAAACCCTTGAAACTTGATACTTTGGCTCGTTCAATGAGTCTAAATGCTTTTTTTTCACATTGACCTTAAACAACATGGTTTTGTCATTGATAATGTTAATTTCTTCTAGATAAAGCTCCAAATCAGCACCCTACAAAAAAAAAAGGAAACACATCAAAAAGGAATTAATAAGTACAAATATAGTCAATAGATGTCAAAATGTGAGAAATAAGTATAAAACCCGCTTGAAATGTTGTTCGCGTATTTCAGCAGCACCGATTCCTAATAAAGCTACACAAACTCTATCAAAAAGTATGAAAGAGGCAGAATCAGTGTTATCCACCACTCTGACCTGAACACTAAATCTGCTACACAGGAAAAACAGCAATGAACAAACAGATTGAATAACAAAATGAAAAGCTCACAACATAATACTTACTTCGGACAATAATCGTCCCAATGTTCCTGACAATACTTACAAAACCATTTTTCAAAATCCTCACATACAGAATATGGACATTTCTTGTAGGACTTGTACCACCAATTGTACTTCGACTCAATTGATTTTATTATTCCATACATAATGCAGGTAGTAATCTCACTGCAATTCTTAATGTCACTAATAGACTTCCTCTCCGTGTCTTTCATAAAATCATTTTCAAAAGAATACAATGATTGGCTAGACAATTGAGTCAACCTCATACCGCTCTCTATTGGATCAGATGAAAGCCTAAAACGCAACACAACAGCAAAACAATCACCAATCATACCAAAAACAACAATCAATATAAGACGCACACACGCATGGGATTTTCTTTTACGTTTTTTTTAACGAAGCGCGTAAACAAAATGCTCACCTTTTTTTGAACTCTATGATTTCAGGAAGGCTTGAATCGAAGAGTATCCTCGTCATATATTTTGTATTTAATCCTTGCAAGCTGGACGATCACAACGTTTTGAGGAGACTCGTTATTCGCCAACAAAGACTGTACTTTATCCAGATGCTGCTCCCACAAAGTAAATTCGAGCTTGTGACCTCTATTTTTAGGAAATTTGAGCGAAATAAAAATATATTTCATCTGAAAATATACTTCCCAATAATCATACAAATATACCTGAGGTCATCAAGTTCTAAAACAACCATCTTTGTTTTTCTACCGGATACAACATGTTCACAGACGTCTCCAATACCTGACAGCAAACCGATGACATCTACAAAGAAGAGAGGTTGAACATTTATCAATGACACTAACAGATAAAATATAACAGTAAACTCAGACAAAAACATTACCTACTAAATAAGGAAATTCAGTTGATTCCCTCTCTATGACATCAAAATCAACAAAACTAAATCCATAAGCAGGAATAGTAGCATCCACAATCGATTTGACATTCGTCCTCAAGTTGAAAGACAGACGATAATCATGTCTAGTCGGCCTGAAATGATCAATGTTCAACCCAACTCCAAAAATCTTTATAAAATAGACATCCCCCTCGCAAATTTTTTTACGGACATTCAGAGATCCTTTGACAGTAGCATGTATCCTTGCACCCTACAAAATAAATACATTAGATAAATTAACATCAGGGCCTTAAAAAAAATGAAACGAAAAAAAACTATAACAGAACGCAAAGTATTACCTTCTCGTCTAAGAGAACCATGTCCAGATTGTCGTCAAAATCTTTTCGCTGAAAATTTGGAACATTCCAAGTCCTAACCACCCTCACCTTAATCCTCCACTCCTTCTTCGACGAATTAAGATCCTTAATGAAATCATACCTCGAGTACATATTTCACACCAAAAAAGGTTGAGCAGATGAAGTTGCAAGAGAAAACAAACGAAAATAGGATAAGGAGGGGAAGAATCACAAAAGGCGATGACCAAAGGGAAGAACCAAGCAAAACATATGATATATATACACAACTTCCAAAATGGACTTGAAAAGTCTCTCAACTTCTTTTATCGTTCAGCGTATTATCATTTACATTTCAATTTAAATATTAAAGGCACATGACAATTACCCATTCATAAAATAGTGAAACTTTAATTCAGCCTGACCCCACAAAGATAAGGATTCCCTTTTTTTCCCACTAATTAATATTAATTTTCGACTTAAAAAATAATTTTTGATTAAAAAAAAATTCCAAAAGAAGAAACTTTTCAAACTTTCTCAAGTGTGAACGCATTGGTGAAATTAAAGGAGGGAGTGACACATCATCAAACTTTCCAATGTTGTTTATTCCCTTAGTATATATAATGAAGTGGGGGGAAAGATCTATGTTTTATCTATGTTACGCCCAAGACAGGAGGCCTACCTTGTTCCATAACATAGGCTATATGAGTTTATTTCTTCTTGACACCTCATTCCAATTTTTTATGTAAATGCTCGTAATAATAGTTGGGTTGGATGAATTGAGAAAAAAGCTTGCACCTTTTTTTGATGTTGAAGCGCCATTGAAGAGAGAGAAAGAGGAGGAGAGAGAAAGGGGTAAAAGAGTTTAATTTATATCGTAAATCTCCTCCGTTGGATGAGATTGTGATCTGATGGTATTGAAAGGGGTAGACAAAGGTAAGCAAAATAATAATAGGCAAAATAACCTATCACATAATGGAGATAAGATAGCGAAGTCTATTTTTTAAAAAATAAAATAAAATAGTGGACTCCATTATTTTGTCTCTATCGTATGAGATAATTATCCCATGCCACATGAAATAATTATTTCCCAAAAATAAAATATGAAAAGAAAATAAATATAAAGGTAAAATAGTATAAATGTACTATTTTTGTTTTTTATATTTGATAAAAGATGTATTAAATACTCGGTGTATACTGAAAATATCTTCATGTATTTGCTGTCTATCATAGTCCAGAATCGCGTACATTTTGAGCTACGTGGCAAATTATTTGCTCTCAATGCCAGAAGTCCCGTCCCCAAATCTGTAGCTCATTTTTTTTTTTATATTGGGAGTACATATTCTTTTATTCTTTTGTCAAAAATAAAAATATTGGATATGAATAGAATAAATATATAAAAAATAATATAAAAGTATTTTTTTAATTATATTTGATAAAAATATATCGAATACTCACTACAATAAGAGCATCAAAAATATTTTTCTAAATATAAGTATTAGAATAAGAGCATGTTTGTTTAACCTTTTAAAAAAGTAATTTTTATGCCTTATTTATTTTAGAAATTTTTTTTACAAAAGTTAAACGTATTTACATTTTAAAAAAAATATTGATTTTTTGAAAAAAAAAAAATTTTGAAAAAAAAAATTTAATTTTTGACTTCTGCTTTTTTAGAAACTAAAATTTTAGCTTTCAAAAAAAAGTAGATTTTTAATTTTTTTTGTGACTTCGACTTTTTTTTAAAACAGACATCTAAACGAATTTACAGTAAAAAAATATTTTTTTTCCTAAAAAAACAGTTTTTGGAAAAATAAATAAAAAATAAAATACCCCACTCAAATTGGCCATAAGTCATGTTGGGTGCAGAATTTACATGGGCAGGGCAAGGATGAGCGTCAAATTGAAGATTGCGTGATATTGTGCTATGGGATGCTACTATTCTGCTGAGCTACTAAAATGGATATGAAAGGCCGTGTACTTTGTTTAGAACTCAATTTAGTGCATACATAGAAGGATTAACTTATACCATTACTGATAATAGTTGATTCTATTTATATGGATATCGTTATGGCTTATGGTATATATACGATATGACTATTTTATATTAAATTCTTAATTTTAGTAGTTGATAAACTTATACCTAACAGTTTTAGTTTATTATTTACATGAGTCATTGCATAAATAAATCAATGATTAAGAGTAAGTATAAGAATTCTTATTTATAAAAATTACCTTCCTATATTTTTAAGAATTTAATTTCTCTCCTATTATAGGAGATATATATATATATATATATATATATATATATATATATATATATATATATATATATATATATTCATATGAAGTCATACGGAAAAAAGAGAGAGAAAAAGAAAATATGGATCTTACACATTTTTATGTGTCTGACATTAATCCCTATTTTTAATGAGAAAAATATTTCTGGCAAAAGTAGAAATGTTAAACCCTATTTAAATTAGTATATATGTTAATATATTCAGAATTGTTTTATTATTTACATGTTTTTATTTTATTTTATAAAAAAATGGTAAAATACCAAAAAAGCAATAACTTTTTTTGGAAGAAATAAAAAAATATTTTTGCTCTTTTTTAATTAATTAAAACTTACCCACTCATGCTATTTTTTTAAATGATTTTGATTCCCATTAAGATTTATACTAGTATAAGCCAAGTCAAATTATATGTTTTTTTTTTGTTTAATATTTAATATCTTGATTGCTTTTGTGAAATAAATTAAATATATTTAAGGTTATTTAATTTTACAATTAACTTGAGGGTGATTTATAAAGGTGTTGCGAATTGAAGTCACGACTATTTACTTACTGAATAGAGACTATTTACTTACTGAATAGAGACAGTGTGAATTGAACTAATGGCTATTTAATCATGTAAAAAATTATTCCAACCCAAAAATTAAATTATTGAGTGAAGTTATATTTATAACTTTATATTTCTCCAACAATTCCATCATAAATTTTATATTGAGAGGTAGAAAAGGTATAACACGAGATTGATGACTGACATTGAATCTTATGATATGGTTCGGGATAAAATCAATTAATCAACCAAGGAAGAAATGTGATTTGTGAATGATGATGATTGTGATGCGTACCATCCCAGTAAATATACTGAGAAGTGATTCAAGATTTCATGTAGACAGCAAGTTGTAGGTAATGACCACCATTTTAGAGGACTAGAGGAGTCCTTAAATTTGGACTTGCAGATCAAAAATGAAACCTTTGGGCCAATGTCATAGAGCATGCTCGAATAAGAATATGATGTAGTAGGCCTGTTCTACAAGAACATTTTGGGTTTCCAACCTGTACCCATTCCATATTTTACATTTAGATATGTATTACGTCCCAATCCATATCCTGAACTGATAAGCTTAGCACATTATTGGTGTATTGTTGGGGAGTGAATTTTTCACGTGTTAATTAACATAATTATATTATGTGAAAAAAATTTAATCATATAAAGATGGGTCAATGATAAGGAAAGAGAGATAAAAAAATATAAAAATATAAAATTATCACCATTAATTTAATTATCAATAATTAAGATTCTCTCCTATAATATAATTATATTAATTAACACATGATAGAATTTATTCCGTCTACTTTTGGTAACAACTAACTAGTCTGAAATTTGGCTTGATATTGTTGACAGAGGTAGGATATGTTAAAGCACCGTTCTTGACTCTTGTTGATAACCTAACACAAAAGTAAATTCGTTGTCCCACCCACCCACCCCAGATTCCATCCCAAAACGATAAAAATGAGCACTTGGACAAACATCGAAATTTGCGATGTGGGTTTCATTTGAACCCATATTTTCAAAAAATAAATAAAAATTGTAAATGCAAACGGAGCTTTTAAAAAAATAATAAAGTTCGTTTGAAAATAATTACATGTACTTGTTATATGGGAAAAACTTATTTCAAGTAATACGCATACTATTCTTTTCTGTTCTAAATGTATTTTCTCCCCTTTTATTTATGCCTTATAACAAAGTGAAAATAAGCACTTTTTAAATTTTTTATTTTTTTTGGATAGGGGTTGAGAAGAAATTATAATTAATGACTCCCATAAATATAAAATGTAATTATAGATATAGATTAATTGGGTATGAGCATATAGCCATCTGTTATCAATTATTATTAAGCTGTGGTTATGCTACTCCAATCTGTTAATTTATATACATTTTTGCATATCTCACTAACGCCAAACCAAAAATATTGGCATATATTAATAAAACGGTAGATTTGAAATAAATAAGCAAAAAAAAAAAAAAATTATTCAAACTTGAAGGTTAGTTAGAGATACAAGATATTATGATAAGAGCTGTGGAGCCGTTCAACAGATGGCCACAGTGAAAGCCGGCAAAGTTAGTTTGGATGCGTTTTATAGTGACAACGAAATGCTCTCCCCAATGTTTTGTGGTTCGGGTTATGATTAAGGAATCGAGTCTGAGTCATTTCAGATAAGTCATAACTAAACATAACATATCATCCACCGACAATTACACAAAGGAAAGCCACCTTTGTGTCTGCTTCTAGTTTCTACATTGCTTCTCTTTTTTTCAAAAATAATAAATAAATTAAATTAAGAAGTATTAAGCAATGGAAGCTTCTCTTAATAATGAGGAGCCAACCTAGCTCTAATTGTTATTATGACTTAAGCTCTATTGATTGTGCATTATATATAGTGGTTGTCTAAAATCGCCCATGCTTATATTATAACTTAATTGTAAGATGCATATAGTTCGCCCATTCATCTTATATTCCACAATACAATTAGAGGTTGCAAAGTGGACGGCTCGTCCCGCCCCGCCATGTCCCACCCCGCTGTTAATCCGTCAAAAAATGAGTCAGCTCCGCCCTGCTTTTGAAAGTGGACTGAAAAACTCAGCCCGCCCTACTCCGTTTGGCGGGTTGGGCGAATTGGCCCGCCAGTCCGAGCCTATTTTACACTGACCCGTCTCAACTCGCCTATGCCCGCCAAAAAATGAGCTCACCCCACTTTTGAGATGGGTTGAAAAACTCAATCCGCCCCGTCCCGTTGGGCGAATTGACCCGCCGAGCCGAGTCCGTCTTGCCGGCTCTAAATACAATAGTCTCAAACACAATTAAATTT